CATCAGGGCTAACGCTATAGCTAACTGGCTAAGCTGAGGTTCTTCTTCCATGAAGCAGCTCTGTTGTCCTCCATCTATATTTTCAGTTACAGACTGATTCATATCTATCTTCTCCTCTCTGGCTACGTTCACATTGCAGGCAAATCCGACCCAAATCCAATTATTTTGCCCCATCTGATCTATATCCGATTTTTTTATGACAGTCTGAAGACGACAAATCCGATTTTTTCAAATCCAACCCAGGCTGTTTCAGTATGTGGTTTTAAATCAGATACATATCTGATGTTTTCAAAGCGACTGCAGTGTGTGTCACACAAAAGACATTTGTCATCACATGGCACTAGATGCAGTAATTGCAAAGTGGAAAATATTAATTTTTAACAGGTTTTCTGACGATTAACTGCACACGATAGGATTTTGCCCAACCCTATGTGAAAACCTATTTTTTAATACTGTCCTTTCTAAAGTACTGCATGCAGGAGTACGTTATACACCCATTGACAAACTATTGTACAGCAATCTATAGCAATGAACTGGACAAGCAAATACTTTGTATAACCTTTGACTTTGTCCTTAGAGCTGGTGTGTTGAAAAGATTCTGCGACACAACGTCACAAATGTGTATAAAGTTTTGGTAAATTATCTTGAGCGAATCAGAAGTTATGGGCAGGACAAGAGAAAGTTTAAGGACGTACAGTATGGATGATGACTATATCAAATTAAATCTGCCTTCGACAAGTGTATATTATTATTTTTTTTATTATTATTATTAATTTGAGGAAGTAAATTAAAAGGGTTTTCTTTCTTCACATGGGCAATCCATGTTCTCTGTACAACTGTGGAAGCAGGTTGTTGGTAGCCAAACAAGAAAAAGTAATTTGGACAAATTTGGTTTTAAAACAAGAAGTTACTCAAAACACTTGACAAAAACATACGAGATCTGTGCAACCTGCTCTGGGCTGATTCTAACAGCAACAGGCAACCATGTTATGAGGAGTACAGCATATAATGCCCCTTTTGTCACAGCACACAAAGACAGAAAGATTAAACCTGCAGGATCATATTTTTAGACAACTTATTTTCCTAAACAACAAGCCACAGTGCGCTGAGGAGCTGAAGCTGCAGGGAAAGGAGGCGGAGAGGAGAAAGGGTGCCGCCACACACAGTTCTGTGCCAGTTCAATTAGAAACCTTATCTGGCCACAGCTTCATTGTTGAGGACAAAACCTTAATGCAGCAGCAAATAAGCACTGATGGAGAAAATGGATGTTTAAATCCATTAAGCCTCTCCATCAGCGGTGCCTGAAATCACGGACCTGAGCCCTGCAGGGCGCAGGAGGAAACCGTCACAAGCAGCTTTCACTGATAACGGTTATATAATTAAAACAAGTATGTTTGTTTAATTCATCAAGTCGTCCGTGTTTAACAACTCATAATAGATTGGGTAAGTCATCGAGGTGCGACAGTGCTGATTAACTCCACCCTTTGATCCTTGAAGGAATGTGTGCCACAGAATGGCTTCATTTCCTCTGGTGGTTATAAAAACTGTTGGGTTTTTTTTTTTTTTTAGATTTGGCTGTTATCATGACCCCCGCACGCGAAGCGTTAGCGGGAGTCATATTGTTTTCGTATGGCTTTTTTTTTTCTTTTTTCAGTGATTTCAGGTCAACCATAGCACAAAAACGGCTGCACCAATCAACATGAAATTTGGCAGGACTGTAGATGAGTCTGACCTACACTGCGCCAGCCAACAGTTTTACGATAGACCCCATATTTGAGGAGGGGGCTCCTTTCAAAGTGGGGGTGTATGGACATGCAAAAACAGAAACTGTTAAACATAGAAGCTTCAGATTTCTTTTGTTGTTTAGCTCTGATGAAGCTCTGTCCACCAGGCCCACCAATCAGTGCCCCCGACCACTCTGGAC